TCTTGGATTGAATTCAGTACTAACTTCTCTACTCTTGGATTGAATTCAATACTAACTTCTCTACTCTAGGCTTGAATTCAATACTAACTTCTCTACTCTTGGATTGAATTCAGTACTAACTTCTCTACTCTTGGATTGAATTCAATACTAACTTCTCTACTCTAGGCTTGAATTCAATACTAACTTCTCTACTCTAGGTTTGAATTCAATACTAACTTCTCTACTCTTGGATTGAATTCAGTAATAACTTCTCTACTCTAGGCTTGAATTCAATACTAACTTTTCTTCTCTAGGCTTGAATTCAGTAATAACTTCTCTTCTCTACGCTTGAATTCAATACTAACTTCTCTAACTTCTCTACTCCAGGTTTGAATTTGGTGTTAATTATTCTAACTTCTCTACTTTAGACTTGAATTCAGTACCAACTACAATAAATTCTCTACTCTAGGCTTGAATTAAATGCCAATTACTCTAGCTTCCCTACGCTAGGCTTGATTCTAGGACTATAAATACCCTAAAGTGATGTTCTCTAGGCTTGAATTCAGTACTAACTATTCTAGGCTTGAATTCAGTGCTAACTACTTTCTGCTCGTAAAAGTACAACCCTAGCGGTGTAAAATTTCAACGTGGATATTTCTATATATTTTTTAACAAAAATAACTTTTGTAATTATAAATAATGTCTGTATGCTATGACTACTTGCAAGCATGAATTAAATTATACTGTTACTACGAACACAACCATTCTATTTAAAGTTACTTTATTCTTGCCGTTAGAAACAAATCTTATATATTGTCCTATTCGCTAGATTTTGGGTTTTTTTTAAGGTTTCACAGTCTTCATTTTTACAGCATATTTACTGTATTTAATATTATAAAACGGATTTCTAGGTTTCGACAGCTGTTGTGGAACCCTACAACTCCGTGCTCACTACCCATACGACGCTGGAACATTCAGACTGTGCTTTCATGGTGGACAACGAAGCAATCTATGACATCTGCCGCCGAAACTTAGACATTGAACGCCCAACTTACACGAACCTGAACCGTCTAATAGGGCAAATTGTCTCCTCAATCACCGCGTCTCTGCGTTTTGACGGTGCTTTAAACGTTGACCTAACAGAATTCCAGACTAATCTCGTACCGTACCCAAGGTATGATCTGGATGTATCTAGTTTGATGGTAATCTAGTTTAATTTCTTTCGTTGCCGAAGGTAAAAACTAAATTTGTGGCTTATGATCAGTTTAAAGTGGTTAGCACTGAATTCAAGCCTAGAAAAAAAATGGACCAATTACAACTCTCCATGCATGATTTTCAGGCATACAGATCGACGCTCTCCACAAACGTCATTAAAGATAAAAGAGGTATTATGTGGGGAACAATATAAGTGAGTGTTTGCAACTGCTTTTCAAATCACGTTTGGAATTAGTGAAGGATAAAGACTTGGTGTTTAAAATATATCGGGAATCATTACGTTTGTAAAATCAGTATTCGATGAATATTTGTAGTCCCTTACTGTAAAGAAGGGAGGGGGAGTGATTACAAACTAAATCTTCAATTGTTATTCTTGTACCAACTTGTAGACTGCAAAAGTATACATAAAATAAACACCACTTTTCAGTCTGCTCATTATTAATATAGACTTCACAATAATACATAAAATAGACACCACTTTTCAGTCTGCTCATTATTAATGTAGACTTCACAATAATACATAAAATAGACACCACTTTTCAGTCTGTTCATTCTTTATGAAGACTTCACAATAATACATAAAATAGACACCACTTTTCAGTCTGCTCATTATTAATGTAGACTTCACAATAATACGTAAAATAGACACCACTTTTCAGTCTGCTCATTCTTTATGAAGACTTCACAATAAAATATAAAATAGACACCACTTTTCAGTCTGTTCATTCTTTCTGTAGACTGCACAGTAATACATGAAATAGACACCACTTTTCTGTCTGCTCATTGTTTAGACTACAAGTCTGTGGTAACGCTAAGTGTAGAGTATTGAAGAAGAATAAACAAGCGACGAGAATTATGAATAACTAATGCATGAAGAAATATGATTGGTAAGTTTTTGAACAAACAAGCAATGAGAGTTATAACAAACTGACTCGTTTTTGTGAGTAGTTGTGTATGGTTTAATTGCCAGAAAGGGCACGTAATCGATTTACATCAGTGACATTTCTAGAGGTGTGACCATTTTAATTAATTAGCTGAGATGTAGGCAAGCCTATCAGTTCCAGATGTCACAGTGAAAACTACATACTGACTGATCTGTGCTATAACTACTCAATGTTTACAAAGTAAACTCACTTGGGGGGCAGGGTAAATCGCAAACTCTAGCTTAGATTTCTTGCCGTAGTCCACGGAGAGTCTCTCCGTTAGCAGAGAGGTAAAACCGGATCCAGTCCCACCACCGAAGCTGTGAAAAATAAGAAAACCTTGCAGGCCAGTACACATATCGGCTAACCTCCGAATTCTGTCCAGCACAAGGTCGATGAGTTCCTTTCCGATAGTGTAGTGACCTCTGGCGTAGTTATTAGCAGCATCTTCCTTACCAGTGATAAGCTGCTCAGGATGGAACAGTTGTCGGTACGTGCCAGTTCTCACTTCGTCTATAACACAGAACATATTTTTTTTTTTATATTCATATCAATTCTTAAACATCACAAGTATTGTAAAACGTGAAAAAGTATCATACAATGGTAGTAGAAAATTGTATTGAATATATTGTACGTCAACCTCTACTAGAAATAAGTTTGAGACTGTAAAGGAAAAAAAAAGGATAGCACAGCATTACACGCTAAAGTATTCAAAAATTAGTAATTTTATTACATGGCAGTACCACTTTCATATATATATATATTTGTGATTGCTTATTTTAGGTGTTTTTTTAAGGGATTCCAGAGTTAGATTAAGATCCTAAAAGAATCTGGTATAATAATATTTAGTGCGTGTATCTTTTTTTTTTGTTTTTAGTTACAGCTGTAAGTATGTGAGCTTCACAGCTTTCAGGAAGAGCATAATGGTAATGGAACTGACTGTCTGGAGATTTGTTAGCAAAGAAAAAGTCACTCTCGGCTGAAGAAGTGTTGTGGGTGAATAGCAGAGCACAACCTCTGCTATATACATATATTTAACTGCCCCCCCCCCAGTGGCACAGTGACACGCTAGAATCCGGGTTTCGATACCCGTGGTGGGCAGAGCACAGATAGCCCATTGTGTAGCTTTGTGCTTAATTACAAACAAACTTTAACAATCCAACTAAATAATTTTGCCCCCAATGGCACAGCGGTATGTCTGCGGACTTACAACGCTAGAATCCGGGTTTCGATACCCGTGGTGGGCAGAGCACAGATAGCCCATTGTGTAGCTTTGCGCTTAATTACAAACAAACTTTAACAATCCAACTAAATAATTTTGCCCCCAATGGCACAGCGGTATGTCTGCGGACTTACAACGCTAGAATCTGGGTTTCGATACCCGTGGTGGGAAGAGCACAGATAGCTCATTGTGTAGCTTTGTGCTTAACTATAAACAAACAAACCTTATGAAATAAGTCAAGCAGTTTAGTTGCAGCTATTTTTGAATGTCTTTATTTAATACAGTTGTTTTCGTTGTTAATTAATTATTTCGAACGTTTAGATACTCGATCATATTTGACCTTGAATTACTAAACGTTTGTTAGATTTAAGTAGTTCTAACTCAACATATCACAAAAATTATTAACGATATTGTTAGTGGCACGTTTATCGCGCATCGTTTAAAGGAGAGGATTTTAATCAGTGGTGAAAATGGGCCGGACTTCGGTTCCATGAGTGAAAAATGTTTTTCATTTTATCAGACCCGAAACCTTCGAAAAGAGAAAATATGGGTAGGTTTCATAAATCACCACAAAAAGAAAAAAAAATAATCGGAATACATCAAGTGAAATGTAGTAAGTATTTATTCGTTATATCTTTTCGTGCCAGTTTATTTCTCTAGTTGGAATGTTGGTTATCTACTTCTATTTATATAAGCAGTTGCTATGGTTACCTCGTGGCGTCACACTTTTCTTGCTACAGCGCAGGTTCGTAATTCGTTGATTTAAAGAACACGAGGTTTGTCACTACAATCAATGCCTTCTCGTTTCACCCCCACAATCATCACTTTATGTCTTTCTCATTTTGTGTGGACATTCATAACTGAGTCATCACTGGGAGTTGGTCTTTAAATGCACTACGAAATTAATCAGTACAGCCTGGGAATTTGCAAAAAAACTATACCTTTTTTTTCTACATCAGGTACCTTTCACCCACAAAAATAAGCAATTAAAAAATAATAATAATAATTGAAAACATAAGGATTAATATTGTCGTACCATGTTTCTTCAAAAAAATCTATTTAATACACTCAGCCTGAAAAGTTTATAGAAAGGCAATAGTCTTAATAACATTGTGAGGTGCAGTTTTAGGCGGATAAGATCGTATGACTTTCTTCAAAGGGACTCTTATCTACATACTTAGATTGACCAATCCGCAGAAGCGTGTTATCAGTGTCGTTGTTGTTTGTTGTTAAGCACAAAACTACACAAAGGGCTATCTGTGCTCTGCCCACCATGGGTACCGAAACCCGATTTCTAGCTGTATAAGTCCGCGGATATACCACAGTACCACTGGAGGGCCATTATCAGTGGGGAGCAAGAAGAGACGGTTTGATAAAAAAAAAAGAGTTTGGACGGGCATCTTACTAATAGTCTGCAGTGCACTTCTTCTGTGAAAGTTTAATTCTGAAGGACTAATATATATATATATGATAACTCAATTTATTATTTAATTTTCCTTTTTCAATGTATCGCGCAAACAAAACAAAATTGTGATAAATTTATTTTTATATAACACAAATCAGTTTACAAAAGTATATATTTGCACCAAAGTGTTTATCAAATCAGAAAAATTTACGGGGGCTCCACAAAACTCCATCCACCCCCTAAATAGACGAGGTTCCGGGAATAGAATAATCTGATTTCCACCATTGGATTTAATGCGTGTGACTGATGTTTCAAAGGTTGAAAAAAAAACAACAACATTACTTTTGCTTCAGATTAGCAAAGAGAAAATTTCGAAAACAAAATTGTATTCTCAGGATCGTCCCCCAGTGGCACAGCGGCATGTCTGCGGCATTACAACGCTAGAATCCGGGTTTCGACACCCGTGGTGGGCAGAAAACTGATAGCCCATTGTGTAGCTTTGTGCTTAATTACAAACAAACACATTTTCAGTATCGTGGATGATCTGTAAAATCCCAAAAGTCACGTGATTTCCTGTGGTGCTAGTTTGGGTTATTACGATTAGCTCCACTTTGTGATTCTAGGAATTTGGTTTCGGATCTTAGTTTTGTTCCATTAATGACAAAACAATATACAGAAAGATAAATACTTTTTTCCGGGAAAGGTTTACGGTTCGATGAACCTAATTTCGTGACAAAGTAGAGCGGACTTACCGACAACTGTTGGTTCTAGATCTACAAACACAGCTCGAGGAACGTGTTTTCCAGCTCCAGTCTCAGAGAAGAATGTGTTAAAGGAGTCATCACCCCCACCAATAGTCTTGTCACTAGGCATCTGCCCATCGGGCTGGATACCATGCTCAAGACAGTACAGTTCCCAGCATGCATTGCCCATCTGAACCCCAGCTTGGCCAACATGGATACTGAGGCATTCACGCTGAAAAGTGAAAAATAAATAAGTAATTAATAATTAGTAATATCATATTGATTAGATGAACGAATGCCAGTCGTTTAGGACAATTTATTCATATTTAATAGTTTGGGTTCTTGGAAGACGTCACCTGCCAACCACAGTTAATTTTTGATTACAAATAATGAACCTATAACCTCAAATATTGAGAAATAATAACCAATACTCGTCAAATAAACATTTAGAGAATAAAGTGAACAAAATTCTGTAAGTTTTTTCGTTATTATTTTAGCAGGAGCACTGCACAACCGGAAGCCTGTTCTGTGGTAGTTCTGATTGTTTCTGTGGTGTGTATTTTATCATCATGTTAAGTTCATTGGTTATGCAGACTATTATGGGTATTGCAACTTAGAAGGAGATAAATCAGGAAAAACATATTTCATGTTGTTATTCTAGGTCGGTTTTGTTTCTGAAACCTAACTTATATAGATGATTGGTATGTCAATATGCAATGCATAAGATTTATCACTGTGAAAAATGAAATTCTCCTTTTACAACTCACTTCCTAAACAGACATTAAAACTCAAGTTTCCGTATAAAATACGTATTTGAAGGAAACTTGTTTGTTAAGTAAGGCACCACAAAACGCTGGTTTTCAACCACATGCTTTACAAAGGTATAATATCAAACTTCGAATGAAAGTGACAAAATAATTTTCGACGTTTTTTTAGCGCAAGTAGACTTTTTATTTTAAACGAGGACGACAAATATTAAATATGTTTGTTTGTTTGTAATTAAGCACAAAGTTACACAATGGGCTATCTTTGCTCTGCCCACCACGGGTATCGAAACCCGGATCTTAGCGTTATAAGTCCGCAGACATACCGCTGTGCCACTGGGGGGGGGGCTATTAAATATGTAACTGTACGTGAGATGGGGTATGTAAATTAAAATAAAAAAAGAAAACTATTTAATTTTACACATTCAAAAGACAGCCTCGTGAAGTCTTTTCAAGTTGATGCCTCAGATATCATTAGGCCTAGAGCCCCTCATTAATCTTTTACCTAAAGGTTGAAAATTCTCAACACACCAACGAACAAGAGTATACACGCAAGACTAACCTTCTGAAAATAATTACTTTTATCACCGGAAAGCAACAGGGGGGGCTATTACTATTTTCACTGCTTTTTTTTCACCGCTAAAATCCATTTTAACTGCAAAAAACTGTGAGCAGAGTGTATGTCGTATAATTTAAATAGTCGTGTGACGTCATCAAGCAGCATATGCCAATCAGCGTTCGGTGGTCGATCAAACGGAAAGCTGTGAATCTTGCATAAAATGAGGGCAGTAAAGAATAAATCTGTATGTTATTATACTTACGAAAAAAAAAAACAACAACACAATTTTACGTATTTTTTTTTTATTTCCACTTGGAATTACGCTTGAGATTCATACAACGAGCATATTACCCGATTGGAGTTACGATAACCCAGCATATTATATCAACTTTTAAACTTTTTTTTCTATATTTATTAGCGATGTAAAAACTGAGATCATAATTTTGTCCTCTGGCGGTTAGCGTAAGCTGTTACAGGTTACACACGTATCCCTGTACCTTTTACGTATAAACATCAAAGGTACATTGCAATAATTGTTCATTTAAAACTACAGAATCGAAACAAAACAGTGAATACTTTACTAACAAAACAAAACAATTCTTACACCTTCAAAGATTAGTAGATACATTTATATGCATTCATCTTAAGTACTAATCCATCACTTAATAGACAGTGAATAATATATATATATTTCGCTTTTTTATTGTTTGTTTTTGGCTCTCTTAGTTGTGGCGTCAAACACTTACACTAAATTCGCTTTAGCGTCGCAAATTTCAGTGATTTTTTTTTTCTTCTAGAACTGTTGGAATTACACGCATGCGTGTGCGCATGTGTGTGTGTGTGCGCGCTTATTAACTTTTTTACAGATGACGCCACCATATTACTTAAAAACGTTACCACCTTTAATAGACGGATTAACTTTACTTAAGTTCTACTGTATGTGACATTCTTTGTTAACATTGTTATATATGCTTACAGCTTTTAAATCATTCCACTTTCTATCGTACCATACAATCACTTAAATAAAACGTAATTGGAATTTTCAGCTTTAACAGTAACTTATGCACACGTGGGATATATGGCCAGGTCAGAGAATACTAGGATTTTAAGTCTACGGACTTACAACGCTAAAGTCTGAGGTTCGATTCCCGGCGGTGGACACAATAGGTAACTCAATGTGGCTTTGATCTAAAAACAAACAGACAAACTACTAGGATTCAAATAAATCTATCCCTAATTTAGAAGTATTGATCAGAAGGAGGGCAGCCATCCACTTGCACCCGCCGCCACAAGGGCTTTTTGAGTCAAACATTAGGACTGATTATCACTTTTATCATCCGCCCACAGCTGAACGTGCTAAGTGTGGTCAGCAGTATCGCGACTAAAATCGATAGGCAGTCCATCACGCTAACTACCAGGGGACGCTTCCTTAATAAAAATTAATTATCGTGTTGTTCCCTTTATTTCTGAGCAATGTTGAAGAGCATTGTAAAAACTATTTGCAGGAATCAGAAAAAATACAACAACTTCTGATTGTAAGTAAATTAAAACTATAGTAATTAAAAAGTTAACAAGTATTAAATATTTTGTTACTGTTTTCTTAATGGAAAGCTATAC